TCAAATGTAATGAAGAAAATTGTGGCAAAAGTTTTAGTCAGAAATCAAATCTTATTGAACACAAACGCATTCATTCGGGAGAAAAACCATTTGTTTGTAAATTCAATGGTTGTAACAAAAAATTCGCACAAAAAACACATTTCAATGTTCACATGAAAAGAAATAATAAAATAAAACTTCATAAATGTATTCATAATAACTGTAATCAAAGGTTTGTTACGGAATATGATTTGAGGGCACATTTTAAGCGCAAACATGATAAAATTTAATTACAATGATTGTGAAAATAAAATAATGCTTATTGTTTGACATGGTTTGATTTGCTATTAATTCTACAATTATTATTAACATTATAAACAATAAAAATATAAATGTATTATGTTTGTTGAATATGTATGTAAAAAATGAAATCATTAAATTCAACAAAAAATATTCATGTTTAATAATTTGCCTGAAATGTGTGTCGTATAAAATCTATGACAGGTATCACCACTTGAACCGATACTTACGGATCAACACATTCAGGGGCTGATGAGAGACACGCATTTCGGCCACATATGTGCGCATCTCTTGCACCGCACCGGACATACCCTCCGCGTCGGCACCAATGGCCACTGTGGCCAGCATTGAGTCAAACAATCCGGACGCCTGTTGGCAATCCTGGCGCCGATATTTATCAAACTCTTGGTCGCTGATAGCGATACCCCATTGGCTAAACAGTTGCCGGTGTATACTCGCGCCAAAGTCGGCCCACTTGGCCGCATACCCGTCGGGCCCCTCACCCGTGCATATAAGTACGCCCTCATCATTGATGTCACCTTTGATTATGCCGTTGTTGTGCATATGAAACAGACCTATCGGTGCAAAACATATGGTAATTATTAATGTAATCATTAGTCAGTGAGTGAGAGGGAGGGGGAGAGAGTGATGATCACATACCTGCGCTCAATCCTTGTATAAACTGAACGGCCAAACCATCAGTGAGACCGCCGGAGCCCTTGAATTGGCCCAAATGAACGGCGTCTGTATAGTCGATGACTATATACGAGCGATCATAACAGAGCACATCCCGGGCGCCAATCGTATTGCTGAGTACTGTCTGTCGGCCAAAGTTGACGGTCACCCGATAGGTGACTACATTCGGGTGACCGACCAGTTCTTTCAGCACTTGTTTCTCAATCTCATAGCGTAGTCGACGGGAGACATCGGTGTCGGCGGTGAACACTACCCGTTTGGCGGCGAACTTGTGGCCGGGCTGTACGGGACGGTCGCCTTCGGTCATAAACTTTGCCGCCCGGCCCTGAATATTGGCGATCTAGGTGGAAAACAATTTAGCATACAGTTTACAGTTATTCAATAAATAATAATATGAGTTAACACTTACCGCCTCAGTATAGGTGCCCTCATATACAGCACTATACACGTCTCGGCCCAACTCGCGGCTAAACGGCAGTCCCAATCGGGCCATTGTCTGCTGTTCCCTATCCTCCCGGTCCTCTCTCTCCTGTTGTGACTCAACCCGTTTGCCGACTAACTCACCGAACAGCCCGCCGGCCGCGGGAGAGGGCGGCCCCGCTCTACCGGCGCCCACATCTACTTCGCCAACAACTTGGGACCTATCGGTGACCGTCGACTGATCGCCGGCCCGTGCCTTCTGAAAGGCAGCCGAGAGTCGTATCAATGGGTGGGCTTTGGTCGCATCGGTGGCCGACTGCCCGGTGCTAATCACCTTCACCGCGGGCTCCGCGATGTCAGGCGGCGCGCCGTACGCCTGTTCATTGCCGGTAACCCACTCGGACTCCAGCACCTGGTCTACGGTGTAACGAGTGTTGGGGTCGGCGCACGTCATACTTCGCATAAGTGCTATGAGTTGTTGGCTGTAAGCTTTGTCGTACATGTGCTCCGGGATCCATACGGCGCCCGACGGAAGTTTGCCCGCCTGTAGGCACTCCCAAGCAATCTCAGCCCCGACCACAGCATAGGCCAGAGTCACACCCATGGCGTATACGTCCACTTTGCGTGTGTCAAACCTCGTTTGGCCCAACAGTTGGCCGAGTAGTTGGCCGCGCATTTGGCCGGCGGCGCTCACGAGCTCGTCCGACATGTACACTATGCTGTTTTTGCGCACCGGGTTTTGCATATCGGGCTCATTCACCGGAAACCACTGCGCCAGACCGTAATCGGTCAGTTTGTACACACGCTTGGGCTGACCGGTGCGGGTGTCCGCCATCGTCAGGTACAGTATGTTCTCGGGCTTAAGGTCCAGGTGCGCCACGCGTTGCCGATGCAGGTACTGCAGCCCATGACAGGACTGTACAAACCAGTCGTGTGCCTGGGCTTCCGTCTGTTTACGGTCCGGCAGAGTTTCTATTAGTCCCCACATATCACCTTTGCATACGGCCATGAATACAAACAGGTGCAGTGCCCTAAGCCCAGTCGCCCGGGCGCACACCACCCACTCCATCGACAATATGTTTGGGTGCCTCAGACCGCGCATCGCCTCTACCTCCCGGAGCAACTGGCGTACGGCCTCGTGGACTGACTGCCCCGACCGGGCTATCACTGTCTCAACGCTGGACAGTCTGCAGGCCAACTGGAAAACCGTGCCCTCAACCGACACCAGCCATATGTCGCCAAAAGCTCCAAAGCCGAACACCCGGTCAAACCGGAAGCCCAGCCGCTCGACGTGGTGTTTGGCCGCAGTCCACGGCTGAGTCAGGTCCAACTCTGCGGCCACTGTTGAGTAGTCATGTCTCGGCCCAAAAATACCAGCCGCGGCCAACTCTGTTGAGTACAGGGGCTGTGGTGTTGCGGCTCGAGTATAGGCCGGTGCGTAACCGTATGGCACCTGTTGTGGCGCCAGTAGTGGGCCCGCTATGTCGGGCGGGTTAGTGTCCAATAGGGTCGGGTGGAAACTGGTCGGGTCTACCGGTGCCTCAAAATCTTGTATATCACCAAACGGTCCCCCAGAAGGGGATCCATGTGCTGAGCGGTTGGACATGATTTTGTAATCAACTTTTACTATGTATTTATATTTTTTGAATGCTTTCTAATGTTTTGTTTGTTGTAATTTGTGATAAAATTTTTAATTTTAAATAATTTTACAATTTTATTTTTAATTAAGCTTTTTAAAAGGTTTAAATTATTATTGATTGATATGGTTTATTAATATAATCTTTAAAAATAAACTTGACCTTAAATAATAAACAGCAGAGACTGTAGGCGTATGTCTCTATTGGTATTAATACCTGAAAACATGGTAACAATTTTTGGGAAACAGGTTTTCACTATCAATGAGAGCACGTGTTGTAAAGGATATCCATTTTTCAGTCATTTTGTACTAAAATAAATTGAATTTACATTAGATTTGTGTAGAGATTTTGTTGATTTAAACTAAACTTAAATAAATTTTTTTATTGAATTTATTTTAAAATGTGTTCAAAATTAATGAGTGTTTCGTTGATTGAAATGAACTGTA